ACCTTTGTTCCAGTACCTGTAAAATAGGTCTCTAAAGCTTAACATAAAACTTGAAAACAGGCTGAATTATGGAAAAAGTTTTAGAGTCAGCTCACTTGACCTGAGCCTACTTAGGTTATCTCATGAAGCATCTAGCAATTATTTACTTGTCCTTTGGCATCCATGTGACTTTTGTTTGTCATTAGCTATGTGTGTTGTGTTGTCCAGCATTGGTGTGGCCACATAATTTACTGTCCTAMTGGCATTCTGTTTTTATGTGTACTGAGTGAAAATAAGATAGAAAATAGTAATACCTAGATATTTTATGGACTTGTATGTAACTAGACAGACCTTTATCTGAATGCCTTTGTTTTTTTCTGACAACATACTTACAGAATTGCCTAGGGTTTACAGAAAGAACAAAAATATTGCATGAAAAATAGAAAATTAATATCTATTAAAAACGACTTACTGAAATTAATTCCAGTAGTAGGTGAATATGACTTCGAAACTGTAAGTAACCATACAACATCACATGGCTAATTATGAGGGTGATGGGTAAGAAACCTGATTTCAGTTTGAGAGGTTGATTAGACCCAGATAAATTCTGTCTATCTTATTTCTGTGACTATAGATACACTGAACACGTCTTGTTGAAAGTGGAGGAAATGGAAAACAAAATACGTTATTACATGATTTGAATCCATGTAACACATATTTAGCATGTTTTCTGCTCTTTAGAGAGCTCAAACCCTGTTCTTAGAAGAAAGCCAAAATCTTTGAGTCTCAGATAGGGATTGCAGCAATGTTCCAGACAACCAGAGTTTTGGCAAATGAGGAAAGTAATATACAGATGAAGATGAAGAAATTTTAAAAAATGAAGGAAGGGATGGGTAACTATTTGCCTTTGTCACTTACAGTACTAAAAGGCCTTCTTACTTTCTACATAACATCCCTGACAATTCGTTTTCAGCCATAAGAATTTTGTGTGCTGCTGTCCCATTTATTATAGCAATTAAAAGTATAAAAAGAATAACAACTAACAAAAGCTTAGTATGCTAAGCACTTATCTCAAACCTAATACTAGCTTTATGAGTTCAGTACTGTTATCACAAATTTATAATTAAGGAAACTGAGGAACAGAGAGATTTAGTAACAGTGAAAATTGCATACCTAAAGAATATATAACCAAGATTTGAACACATAATCTGGCTTGAAAGCTTGTGTAGATGACTGTTCTGCAGTAATAGCTCACTAAGCTATCTCCTAAGCTGTTTTATAAGCAGGAAAAAATGACACGCTAGGAAGCTAATTCCATTTCAATTCCTTACTGAAAAACTATCCTGTTGATAAGACTTTATTGAATTTGCTGCACGGTGCCAGTTTCTCTCTACTGAAGATGCACAGTGGGAAAGGGACTTGTGTCTTTCTATGGACGGGAATATGCTGCCTTCTATGTAAGAATTTGTGTTTATTTTCCCTCATGTTGATTTTTTAATATCTTTCTTTTATTCTTTCTTATAGAATCCATTTTAATTATATTATGTGATAAAATTTAATTTGATAACACAACATAAACCTTTTGTTATAATGTGATAATGAGAAAGCTTTGATTTATATAGGCCTTAACGAATTGTTGTGAAATTACATAATATTTCCATTAATCAAGGGTATTTTTCATTTGTGAAGTAGGTACTATTACCTTTATTTTCTTAATATAAACAAGATTCAAAGCAGTTATGTTACCTACTGAGGTTRCTCTGTTATTAAATGGTTCAGCTTGCCAATACTGGTACTTCAAACTTTAAATTCTGAATCTAATGTTCTTTAAAGTTTCTCTTTATGAAATCTCAGCTCTCTTAGTGTCTGTTGCAAAGGAGAGCCATGGTGATGGCGTGTTCAATCAATAGGTGAATGAGTGTATGTCCTAATAAAATATGGGTATTCAACTGCACATATTTTGTACAGCTTTGCCAGCTATCACTTTTTGGTGCTGGCAAAAAGTTTTTGGCTTTGAGGCTGTTATGCAGGAACAAAATATTAAAAATTGTTTTGGAACAATGAAATWTAAATTTAAATCACACTCTTAAAACTTTGTAATTGCAGCTAGATAGGAGGATTAAGGTCTAGTGTTCCACAGCACAGAAGTGTGAATATAGTTCACGATGTTTGTTATATGTTTTATGAAGAATTAGAAAAGAGGAATTCAAAGCTGCAAACATTAAGGAATTATAAATATATAAGGAGGTGGAACGCTAACTGCCCTGATTTCATCATTACACACTGGATACATGTATTAAATTAAATATGCACACTTAATTTTTATATATATATATATATATATATGTATGTATACACACACACACGCACATCAATTAAAAATAAAACTAAAAAATATAGAATTAATTTAAATAGAATTTCCTGAGAAAATAAAAGAATCACATGTTATTTTGTTATTTTGTCATTGACCAGGTCCAGGAGAATAAGAGWTGTATTAGAAGAGAGAAGCTTTTAATAAATTAAGGGGAATATCTGGATCAATTTTCCAGAATAATCATGTGACTCTCTCCACAGTTATTAATCTGGTTCCAGTTAAGTCAGGAAGACATGTAAATCCCTAGTGTATAAGGTAATTAGGGATCTCCTGAACACTAGGGTATGGTCATGGGCTTTGATATAAATGAGGATTCTGTAGACTTTTTGAATGCTTTTTWWAAMAAAAAAAACAACTTACAATTGATTAGTAAATTATCATTCTCCTCCTTAATAATTTATTCACCAACACACAGCAGTTTGTTGATCTATCCTGTCAATATACTTCCTCTTAGACAGGTCTGAAGATAAAGTAAAAATACTCCTTTCTACCAACAGTTTTAACTCTGATTCCCATGGTCAGTAAGAACTGTGGGTCACAATTCTCAATATCTTGTTAATATTTATCTCTGAAGGGTCAAGAGGTCAGTTTCTTCAGGACGACATGGTTGGAAGTCAAGATGCAGTCTTAGACAAGGTACTTCATGTATCTGGACCACATTCATGGAATCTGTATTTGATTAGTAGTTCTGGCCTTATAAATTTGTTGAGAGGATGCATTAAATCCACACAAAAGCTAAATAAATGAACCACTAGTGCTTGGTATATAAGTATAATTTAGGAAAAACCAGTTCTTACTAATATTCTTATTGCCTTTAATGTTATCTGTCCTAGAGTTTGTTTTTCTTCATGTAATTTTTCAAAGAATGACCATTTTTTCCTTCTGATTTTCACTGTATAATCCACTGCATGCCTCCAGGCATGCTAACACTACTGATAATCATCTCTATATATCTCTTAATATATGAAGGTACTTAGAGACAAAATGATGATGAAACATTAAAGAAAGAAGATAATAGCAAAGTATATACCAGAGGGGGGAAAAAGCTGACAAGCTGCTAAGAGTCATACTAAAGTGGCTGTTATGGTTTGGATATAAGTAGTCCCCCAATAAGCTAAGAAGTGAGACAATGCAGGAATGCTAAAAGGTAAAATGGTTATATTGTGAAAGTTGTAACATAATCAGTGAATTAATCCATGAATTAATTCACTGTAATGAATTAATAATTTAGAAGGACTACTATCCTGGTTGGTAGAGTATGGTTAGACAAAGTAGGGTACTGAGGGCATGCCTTTGAGGTTTATGTTTTTTTATTWGTTAACATGACAGTAGAATGTATTTTGATACATCATACATAAATGGAGTATAACTTCTGATTCTTCTGGTTGTACRTGGTGTAGAATCACACTGGTCATGCAATCATATATGTAAGGTTATGTTTTAACCTGGAATCTCCTTCTTTTTCTCCTTCCATCTGACATGATCTGAGTAGCTGTCTTCTGCTATACTTTTCTACCATGATGTTCTGTGTTACTTAACTCTCAGAGCAATGCTGTGGACTGMCCATGGTCTGAGACCTTTGAAATTATAAGCCCCAAATGAAAATTTCCTCCTGTAAGTCAAAATACCTTGTCAGGTATTTTGGTCACAGCAATGAAAGTGGAATAACACAGGGGCTTCTACTGTTTATATGCTAAGAGAATATCAGTTATCAGCTTATGAATCTGATTTTGGCACACAAAGCAGAGACTTTTTCCAAGATGGAGTCCTTGCAACCTTGACATTGTTAATAATACTAATACAATGCTAACAACAATGATTCTTATGTCTTGGACCAGAGTACACTTCCTGAAAAGTTTGGCAACAGACATTGTTGGTGTATGACTTTCTGTTTTTATATTTTCAAGTTTGAACTCTCTACCCTTCAAGTGACCTATTGTAAAATAGGTCTGATACTTTAACTAATTAACTGGTTAACCAATAACCAATAATTGATTGACTAATGGACTTGATCTTTCTCTTCAAAAACTATTTAATTGCTGAATATATTCTGCAGTTGTCTAATTTCATTCATCATATATTGATGTCATAAATTTTTAAAGATTTTTAGGGAAATTGGCGGTATTATGTATGTAACTATGTGTGTGTTCATATATATAAATTAAACAATGATCATATGTAATCTCACTGTCCTAGAGTAAAAGTTATGAGTAAGTATATATGAAATAGCTTCTAAAGTGGTGTTTTGCTGATTAATTTATTAATACTTACTGAGATTATGAAGTTATTCTATTATATAAATACCTTCTTAAAATAAGTAATAAAAAGTCTTTTGAGTATAAATGTTGTTTTAGAAATTTATTTGTAAATGCAATTGCATTTGAAGCTTATGATAAAACTAAATAATTGCAGATATGAATTTATTTTGTAGTTCATAGGATAAGCTATAGTATCATATATGGTAATAATATGAATATGATGCTGTTCCCAGCAATATATTAATATTAATTATTATTTTAATGTTAATATTAATAATTGTAATGTTATGTTAATTTTCCATACCCACTGAAGGTACCATAGTTGATACCACACTTTATTCAAGCTAAGAGCTGGTGGAAGCTCCTGAAACTCCATCTCCCAAACCCACCTTCATTATATTTATCTTCAAGTACCCACACACTTTTCCCAAGCTAACAATAAGGAGAACACAACTTTTGCAGGCCTGTGAGAGGGAACAAAAGAGAAGGATAAAAATTCCTTACAAATTCAATAGACCAGAAACACAGTAGAAAAGTGTTGTGGATAAAAGAACTTTTCATATGGACTAGAGCTGCAACCAAATTACTATCTGGTATCGGCCAAATTCATTCTGAAGATGTGTGTAGGAAGACACAATTTTCAGTAAATTGCATTAGAAACTAAGCAGGTGGGTAGATACTTTTTGCTGTTATGCAAGATGATTTAGTTGTCATCTTCGAAAGAGTTCAGGATGGCCAGATTTTTCCAATTATATTCTCTCACTGTGTGTAACACACTCTTTTTATATCCAGCCCAACCAAACTCAAAAGCTGTGYCTCTTTCTTTGCTCACTCCCTGCTCTTCTTCAAAATCATCAAAGTCACTAGAAAACCCTGAATGTGACCTGTACTTTCTTATTCTGAGATTTTTGCTCACTGTATATAAAATCACTTGTTTATCCCCCAGATCAATGAAATTCTCATCTTTTACACAGCATAAATACCACATTCAAAACCAACTTTCTAAGCGATGACTCCATTTAGGAATAATCATAGCTTTTGGGAAAAAAAAACTCTTCTTCATAAATGTACCTAAGCCTTAGAAGATGCTTTATTAGTGTAGTGGGAAGTAATTTCTTACCATTGTAGCTATTTGACCTTGGAAAGATTAAGATCTCTGACCTCAGTTATTTCTTCTGCTATATAAGACTAATAATAACTGCCTTGGGATGTTGTAAAATTTAGTCAGTGCATGTTATTTAGCTTTTGTTAAGTYTCTGGCACAGATTCTGGTCCATAATGAAAATTCAATGGGCAGTATCAATCTGCAACTTCTTATGCCCATAATTATAAGAATTCTTTTATTATGCCTTCCTCCGTAGACAGTTGATTTCTAAACGCTAGACACCACACTTTTGAGTTAATCTCTATGTCCTTATCCCTGTTTCAAAATGTTTGGAACAGTGCCTTGTATTTAGCAAGTGAGCTTTTTCTTTCATTTCAATAAAATTCGCCTAAGCTTATTCAATTAATATTTTAGAGAGGTAATTTCACATTTTAAGTAGAATAATAATTGAAAAAAAAWTTATTTTATGACATGATAGAAAAAAATATCATTCTATAATGCATCCACTAATTTAATTCTGATGTTTCAATATCCTCATAAGATATGGACTTGAAGAATTTAATGATTACCAGACAAAAACATAATGAAGTAATTTACTTCATAACAGTAGGATCCGCTTTATAACATGAGATTGTATGCTCTACTATTTTATACAAAATGCATTTAAGTATCAGTTTATGAGACATAAACTGGAAGACACCTTGGAGGATATATAATTCAGTCCTTCTTTTTATATTTTTATTGTTTTTTTAGTTATACTTAATATTAGGATCATTTTGACATAATTATAAAAGCATGGATTATAATTTGTTCTAATTCAGTCCCTAGTATTTCCCCTTGTCCTCTCCTGCTCCCTGCCCCTGTTCCCTTGCCTCTAATCTACYGATGTTTCTTCAGTTGACTTTATTTGTTGGTTTTTAAAATTGGTGTCTTGTGAATGTACATAATGGTGAGATTCATTGTGTTATATTCATATATGTACCCAGGAAAKTTAAGTCAGATTCTTTCCTTCTCTCTTCCCTTGCCTTATTCTTCCTCCTTCCCTCTCAATCTCATTCCTCTACTCCACTGATATTTCTTMTATTATGATGGAATTGCCTTACCTTTTCTTTTCTTTTTTTTGTTCCTTATTTTTTAATATCTTCTGCATATCCAAGGTAACACTGGTCCTTTAACTTTGTGGGTCTGGATTATTTGTACTAGCATGATCATCTCCAGTTCCAATTGTCATAATTTCATTCTTTTTATAATTGAGTAATACTCCATTGTATGTGTGTATACATATATTTCTGCAAAAATATATACATATGGGGCTGGGGATGTGGCTCAAGCGGTAGCGCGCTCGCCTGGCATACGTGGGGCCCGGGTTCGATCCTCAGCACCACATACAAAACAAAGATGTTGTGTCCGCCAAAAACTAAAAAATAAATATTAAAAATTCTATCTCTCTCCTTCTCTCTCTTTCACTCTCCTTTAAAAAATATATACATATACATACATAAGTACATATACATATATGTATGTATATGTGTATCTATTTAGACATATATTTGCTGGTTATGCTATTAAAACTATGAAATACATAATGATTTAGAAGGAATAAGTCCAGATATTCAGGATGATCATAATAATTCTACACTAACTTCCTAAAGGTTGCAATTTAACCTGAACTTCACACATAAAAAGGATTTTAATATACCAAGAGAATGCAAAATAATTTTGTGAAGAAATAATTTGTAAAAGTGTGGAAGACGAAGGTTTTGTGAGAGGAAGAAGAAGATGTGGTGGGAGAAGGCTCTTTAATAACTCTAAACAAGTGAATGACATACAGTTCAATGCAATCGTGTAATGCTCTACTGAACTGAATCATCCTGTCKGTTACATTTAATCAAGAACTATAATTGAACAACATTGATAAAGGGGCTCAAATTATTGTAAGATAGTTTTAGGAAGAGTTATACATGCAGAAGTTTATGGAAAGGTCATAGCATAGAGCTCTGGAGATCATCAGGAATCCTTAATGATAGAATCATGCTCCAACAAAGTTTGCAGCAGTAGGAAATAGAACATGTGAATAACATTACAAAAGAAACTGGAATTCCACAATTAGCTAAAGAGCAGATAAAAGAGGAGAGATGGAGAAAGAAGGAGATCCCAGTTCATGCTTTTGTTTCAGGTTTAGTCAACCTGACATGTTTTCAAATGACCAAGATGCAAATGCAGTGAAGAAAATCAGATAGGTATGAGATACGATGGCCCCTCTTCCCACATACCAACCTTGGGCTGAATTTGGGAAAATTCAATACATTGGTTCAAGAGCCTGAGAGAGAAGTGATGTTAGGAGAGAAAATTGAGATGTTATCAAAAGTGAGGGTCAAACCTATATAGAGAACGAGCATTTAAAAGCAAAGAATAGAGCACAATAAGTGCAAAGATCCAAGACAGATGCTTAGCAAATACATACAACTAGCTGGAGGAAGAAACAAGAAAATCTAATAAAAATGAAAATCTTAAATGGAGTATGGGGTGAAGGGAGAGAACTAGATATATTCAGTTCTATAATGGGAGGACCATAAATCCTGATGCAGTTGGAGAGGTAGTCCCCCACATCCACGTTTATCAATTTCAGAATGCTGGTTCTTTTGCAGGATGTATATCTGGCTGAAAATTTTAAGTTTTGCATGAAAAGGCAYTATGAAAAGTTTAATAAAGAACACTTAAGTTATCAAAGATTAATAATCCTCAGAAGAAACATAAGTGAATTGAAACCTGTCATTTAAAGAAGTTTCTGAGTGTCTCCTGAGAACTTGATATACATTTCCAAATTTTCTATTCCTGTAAAACCCCTGTTGTATCAGAATTTATGAGTAAGTCACAGTTTAGGTTTATTATCTGTCTCAGTGAAAATCCTATAATCATATGGTTTAAATATTCTACATATGTTGATAAATCTAGATACCAACATCAATGAAGGAGCTACATATAATGTTGAATGAGGTTTTAAAAGAAAGTGTATTCAATCAGAGACTATTTAAATGAAAAGCTGAAACTTTTCAATATTGCCTTCAACCACTCCCTGACTCAAAGATTAATGATATTTGAATCAGACTGAATCATATACTACTAATCCTCCAGATGCACAACTTAACCCACAATTGTTTTTTTCTTGATTAGGATGAAAGTTGTGTGGGATATTGTTTTATTTTTCTTTCTTTCCAAAKAGCTAATGAATCAGTTTAGATTGCAAGTGAGTCATGATGAACTAGTTGGATAACTTTAAAAAATTCAATTTTTCTTACTTTCTTTTTTGAAACTTTATGTTTTTACTAGTGGAATCTCATTATATATAATAGTGGGATTCTTTGTGATATATTCATATATGCAMATAACATAATTTGTTCCAATTAATTCCCCAGTACTTCACCACCACCCCCTTTCCCCTTTCAATACTTTTTGGTCTTCCTTTTATTTATTCACAAATATATTTTTCATTGATACATTATAATTATACATAGATGTGGAATTTATAGCAACAGAGTCATACATGCATGCAGCATAATTTGGCCAATTTTATTCCTCAATATTTCCCCTTTCTCTCTTGTCTTTCCCTCCCCTTTAAACTCCTACCTCTACTGATATCTCTTCTATTTTYATGAGATCCTCCTTTGTTTCTTTTCTCTCTAGCTTTCAAATATGAGAAAACATATGAMCTTTGACTCTCTGAGTYTGGCTTATTTCACTTAGAATGATGTTCTTCAGTTTCTATAGCAGTGCAAATCACAATAATCAAACAAGGAGTCAGCCGAGGGTCCATTTGTCAACAGAGAATTGGATAAAGAAAAGAATATATATATATATATATATATATATATATATATATAATTATATATAGGAGTCCATAAAGAAGAATGAAATTATTTAATATTTCTTCATTCCTCYCTTGTAAAATGAGAGGACTGAACTGGATGATCTAAAGACCCTTTTATCCATATATGAATACACCATAGTGAAACTACATCATTACAACAASAAGCCTGGATCCTAATTAGAATAAGTTATACTCCGTGGATGTATGATATATTAAATACATCTTACTGTCATGCATATAAAAAGAACAAATAGAAAAGAATCTTTTACCCTTAAAAATTAAATAGTTTACAATTTTTTAAATTGGGACAATAACATTTTTCTTTTCAAATCCTCTTTCATTTCCCTTTTCACAAATTTATAACATAGATGTGGATAGGATATGGATTTGGGGTCTGTAATATGGAAATGAGTAAAAAATTAAATGTAGCTGAGTATGGTGGTACATACCAGTAATCCCAGTGGCTGGGGAGGCTGAGGCAGGAGAATTGC